GGAAATTTCAAAAGTCCCCGGACTTTCCAGAATGGCAGAGGTCCCTCTGTTATGCCAATGAGGTGTCTTTGTCATGCTTACCAGGAGCCTGGGGAGAGGGGTGCTGGCTGCCAGAAAAACCGACTGGACCTGTGCCTGGGAAGCCTGGAACTTTGGCCCCAACCCCTGACCTCCACGGACATCTCCAGGGGGGCTGGAGATACAGCTGGGTTGCCAGTGGCTACTTAACACGGCCTCCATCTCGGGGCACTTCCCAGCTGGTAAACTAGCAAGGTGCCAGGAATGTGGGGTACCTGGGAAGGCCTGGGAGCTCGGTGCCCACCCCATCCCACCCCCCGCTGTGTGTCTCTCCACCTGGGCCGCTCACTTTATTCTCCCTAACAAAGTGATCCTCATAATTACAGTGTTGTGTGTGTTCGGTGAGCTGCTGCAGGGCGTTATTAAGCTTACAGGCAACCTCAAATTTATGGGTGACTGGGCAGAAGTGTGGGGGTCCTGGGGACCCCACTTGTGGGCAGCACTGAAGTTAGGGCAGTCCCGCGGGTCTGAGCTAACTCTGGAGAGCTGGCTGGTGTCTGGACACCCAGCTGGCGTCTGAGAGCTGGCCACCACCAGGTGAGGCCTTTGCTCTGATTAAATGCCCTTGCCACTGGAGTACAACCTGAGGGCGGAGTACAACCTGGGGGCAGGGTCCACCTGTGCCCCCAGAGCAGCTAAGGCAGCACCACACAGAGAGCAGCCTCACATCTACTTCTGATGAGTGAGCAAAGGACTGAATGTACGCTCACTCACTCCCAGACTTAACTGCCTCAAAGGGGAACACGTATGGATGAGAGGATGGCGCAGATGTGAATCAATGAGCTCTGAAAACTGAATGCCTGTGGGCTGCAACTTAAGAGAGGCCACGACTGCTACCTGCCTGCCACTTATTCATGCTCTGCAACGGCGTTCTTGGGGGAGATTAAAAACCACATTATGCAAGCAATCAGTACTTTAAGCAGGTGCTCCTTAGCGCTCTGCCACTTTGTATTTGGTCAAAACTTCTGGTGAGTAAAGCACCTGGCTCCCGTCGTGGTCCCACTGCCAACCTCTTCCTGGCTCTGCATGTAGCAGAGGAACCACAGCCTCACTATGCACAGGGCTTTCTGGACACTGAAGGCCCCGGTGGGCAAGGCGCCACCAGTCGGTCCTCACTGCTCCAGGACCCAAGGGGTCTGGCCTGCCTTTTCTAGGGCCCTCCTGTGTGGGATAAAGCTACTGCACCTCCTGCTCCAAGGACTGCCTGCTTTCATCTGAAATGCAACTGCCTTGTGCAGCAGAAGCTGAGTTCAATGCAAACACCTCTACTGATTCCTGTCATATTAGGTCTGAAAGGGAAAGTCTTACTGATAAGGGATGATATAAGGACCTCTAAATGATATCAGGGAAACATCATAACTCTCAACCTGTTAGGTCTTTGATACATTTGTGTTTTCTAACATCGAAGAATGAATTTTAGGAACAACAGGTTGAGAGTAGGAAATATTGGGCCGAGGATTTAGCTCGGTGGTGATGCTGCCCGCCTCGCAAGCGCAATATCCTGAGTTCGATCCCTGGTACCAGGAAAAAAAAAAAAAAAAAGAGTAGGAAATATTTGAGAAAAACAGCTTCCAAGAGAGACAGAAGAGGACCTAGAAAGTGGGTTGCCGTGGACACCACTTTCAGGGGGGCTTTCTAGAGCAAAATCATGAGGTGGGTACAAGGTGGAACAAAACTATGGTCAACTAATAAGATTACAAGTGCAGTCGCTTAGCTAATATTGACCCAATTAGGAAGCAGACACCTCTCCTGGAAGGGATGGGTCAAGGCTTTAGTCCCACCCAGGTGACCGATGCCTATTTAGAGCAGCAATCATTCTTTTCCATCACGGAAAGGAAAAAAATGAGAAAAGGAGGAAAAAATGGAAACAAAGCTTTTGTAAATAAGGAGGGGAAGAGGGATTGAAAGGAAGGTAGGGGAATGGGAAAAAAAGCAGCAGCAAGATATAGCATGTGCAGGTACAAATTCCCTACGATGAATGTGATCATTATGCACACCTAAAATGTACCAATAAACTTGATTAATTAAAAAAGAATACCAATCATTGCTGTTTATCCCTGGGGAAGGAAGTGCAGTCCTTTTGGCTTTGTCTTGAGGTTTGGCCTTTAGCGAATGCGCCTCCAACCGCTACGCCTTCTCATCTTGTGCACTGGCTTCCTTGAGGACCCAGCCCTGTCAGACCTGTCTTCCGCCTGTAATATTTCTGACTAACTTAGCTGTCTAAAAGGCTACCAGCCCTGCTCCCACAGGTGGGGCCTGACTGCCCCTTCCTTCTGCACCTCCTACTCTGCTGTCCTGTAGGCACCTGGGAGGTCTGGCTGGAGCCTGAACCCTGGCTGCCCCTACTCCTTGGAGGAAGGCCCTTGAACCAGCCCTCTCAAAAACTCAAGGAAGGGTGGTTACAGGGGGCTCAGCCCGTTTCTTTTACCATCTGACTGCAGCAGGTTTCAGGCTCACGGGGAGTGTTTTATAAACCCAGGAGAAACACTGGTGTAGCATGTGGACATGCTGGGTGGGGCTGGGAGGACATTAAGCCGCAGCTGGCAGGGGAGGGGAGTTAGCCTGGCACAGGCTCTCAGGAAGGGAAGGATGAGGTGCAGGAAAGGGCAGACTACTCTAGGGTCTGATCCGAAATGAGGCCGGGCAACAGAACAACCCCAGAGGCTGGTCCGGCTGGCAGTGCTGCCCAGGAGGCCAGAGCTCAGAGTCACACCGGGTCTTCTATGTGCCTGCCTTGGGCATCACACATGCTGCCACTCTGATGGCAGAGCCCTCTGCAACATGCTTCCCCTTCGCCAGTTTCCGTGGCTCCTGACCACATGGTGCTGCCACCTCCATTCATCCTGTCTCCTCTGCCTTGAATGCCCTCTTCCTGGGCTTCCTCTGCTGGCCCCTTCCCATGCTGCTTGCGAACACTGTGCCATCCTGCCCTTGGCTAGCGCCCTCCTCAGCCCCACGGCTTGCATCTTCACTTCACCGAGCACACCTGGTTAAACTAGCTGGCTTGAGGCAGCCCACCTTCCTCGAGGGGGCAGTGCACCCTAAACAGGCCCAGCACATTTTTACTGAAGTAGAGGTCCCCAGCTTGGGTTTGAGGTGAGTAGTTGCAATTAGCCCAAAGGAGTTTCATGCATTTTCTCTTCTACGTAAGCCCACACTTCTGTTTTCTGCTTTGCTTCGGTGGAGCTAGGGATCGAACTCAGGGCCTGGTGCATGGAGGGCAAGTGCTATCCCGATGGACCACCTCACACCCCAGGCCCCCAGAACTTTTACCTATTATGGAACGGCAAAAATACAGATTTCAAGGTTCAAAACTAATCTAAAAATTATTTTACAAACTTAGGGAGATTTCAGCCCACATGGCTTTCCTTTTGGCCCTACGCCCAGTCACTGCTATCAACACACCTAGCGCTGTGGCTTTGCCCTCTGACCCTGACCAGCAAAAGCGGCTGCAGAGCCGTCTCTGCGACTAAGGGGAGCAGGAGCTTCATGTTATGACACCGACAAGGCCACATGGTCTCTTCATGTGTCCCAAACTGGCCTCCCATCATTTCTAGCAAGCAAAATGACCCGTTTATCCCACAGACTGACTCACCAGATTCTCTCGGTAGAAGGCCTCGTAAAACTTAAGAGCCAAGAGACTGTCCCCAGCCAGCCCCTTATAATACGATTCTGTCTATGAAATGTCCAAGAGGGGCTAATCCAGGTACAAGGAACAGGTGAGCAGTTATCGGGCTCAGGGGCTGCAAGGAGGGAGACAGCGGAACAGGCATGGGGTGCCTTTCTGCAGTGACAAGAATGTCCTGGAATAAATTGGTGGTGGCAGGACAGCATTGTGAATGTATAAAAAGTCACTGAAACATACAATTTTAAGCAGCTAAAATAATACATTCTATGTTATGTGAATTTTACCGCAATGAGCAAAAATGTGACTGTCTTACCTTCCTTCCAAAGGTTTACTAGAAAACTGTTCAGAGTTTCATAATCACAGTACTGAGAATTGAATGGGATCGGCACATTGGAAAGTGACCACCCTGCTTCACACATGGACAAAGAGGAACAAATGAGGGTGCCAGGACCACGGCACCCGCCCCACCAAGCAGAGGGGACCGGGGGCTGGTGTGGTGCGGATGACAGAAACCAAGCTGACACCTGGCAGAGCTGCCAGTCAGAGGCCGCGACAGTGAGGCCACCAGGCAGGGCCACACGAGCACTTCACAGACCCTCCCTGGGTAGCGGGGACAGCAACAAGGCTCCAAAGCGACTCATGGTTTAGTAGCAAGATCTCTCAGAGTGAGGCTCCACTCAATCAAAAGAATCATTTCAGGGATTGAATTTGAAGATCTGATCCCTTTGAAATAAAATATTCCACAAACTCTGCTGAAATAAGAAATACTTGTGATTTTTAAAAATGAATTATCGTTTGGAAAGAACTATATGGTCTTTGGCAGACAAAAGTAGGTATTTTGCAATCTTAATACAACCAAATCTGATTTGGGAATTATTCTGAGGAGTTACATAGTGTAGCTCTTTGTGTTTTGTTTGTGGAATATACACACACACATACATGTACACACAGGTGTGTACATGTATTATGTAGAAACATACTGAGTTCCAACAGAACGGATGATTTAAATCACTCGGTATTTCTTTTTTCCATGAGTCAATTACTCAATTATGCAGACGTAAAGGCCCACAAGAACCTGATGCTACCACTCTCAACAGCCAAACATCCAAGAAAGGAAATGATTAAAACACACACAGCACACACAATTTTACTAAAGTCATGGGAAAGTAAGTGGCACAACTGGATGTTCTGAGCTGGCAGGAGAACTCAGGCAGCCAGACAGGTCTGAACCACCACGGAAAGCCCACAGCAAGGACCACGCCGTGCCCAGCCACCAGAGTCGGAGTGCACTTACCCAGGGCGTCCACTGGCGGGCACACAGGAGAAAGTGCAGGACACACAATCGACACAAAAAGGAAAACAACAGAGTCAAAACAGGATTCGAGCAGCAGCCTCCTTACCTCTCGCTTACATGGCTCGCTGCCACATTTTACATCTGGGTGGGCAATCCCATGTGCACCGAGAACTGCTGTCCACAATTCCTGGCTGCCTAATGCTCTTTCCTTCTCACCTGGACAAACGTCTTCTCAGTCACATTACCCAAATGGAGTCAGGATTTTGTAATATATACCCAGAAGAGGCCAATTCAGATTCCTTAGCAAGAAAATCTTTTAAGTGTAATTTATCATAAACTAAAAAACATCGGGGAAATCCAATGAACCAAACTTTAAAGTAAAATAAAAATTACAGGATATTATAGAAACTAAAGTTATAATATAATGACAAATACTATGCTGGTATGAAACTATGAGTCTATTATATCTGTGATGTTGGCTTTGCAGACTCTAGTGAAAAATGCTGCATTCTTTAAGTGGTTCACATGATTACTCCAGTTCTTCCTTTCAAGAAAGTCTCTGATAAACTTTTAGTGGTTGCAGATCCAATCAGAAGGCTCTACCATAATTAATGTTTTATGTATTTATTTTTGCAGTGCTGAGGATCAAACCTAGTCCCTTAAACATATAAGGCAAGCACTCTGTCCCTGAGCCGCACCCTCAACCCAATTTTTACTTATTTTTTTGGTACCGGGGCTCAAACTCGGGTCCTTGCATTTGCGAGGCAAGTGGCAGAACCACTGAGCTAAATCCCTGGCCTCAACCCAATTCTTAAAATTAAGTTAATAATATGGGAATTGGGGGTGTAGCTCAGAGGTACAGCATCTGACTACCATGTGTAAGTACCTGGGTTAGGGCCCAGTTCGATCCCAGGGACTCAATCCCCAGTACTGCAAAACTTAATAATAATAATAAGCGAGTTAAGTTAAATGAGAAGGCTACTGGCTTCACAGAGTAAGATGGACACCACGAAGGCAAATTAATCTGTCTGTAACTTCCCGTCCTCCCTTATTTCTCCAGGACCCCAAAAGCAGTAAACTGGCATCATCCAGCAGAAGATAGTGGCTCAGCTCCACACTGCTTCCCCAGCTTCCTGCTGTGTTGTCCCTCACCTGTTGACAAGACTGGCTCTACCCTGTACTCTTGACCCTGCACAGGAGACCAGAACTCCCCTGGGCTTGGGGACCAATCGCTGCCTGTGTGCACTTCTAGGAGCTGTCACACAAGCCTGCCATTTGGCCACAGCTGGAGCACATTTCAAGTTGCTTTAAAACAATTTTGGGTTAAAACCTACCAATCCGTTAAGTTTTTTTGACACAAATATTTAAGTACCTTTAGATTACAAATTACCTCTCTCTATAATAAAAAAGATAAAGGTGATAAAAGGTGGTATTTGCAAGTTAGAAGGTGAACGATCATATCCCACACAATGTCTGCCCACATCAAGGTGCTAAAACCATGCCTACATGCACAAAGAACATCAAATTTTCAAAAGGAAGAGTCAAAGAATTTCTAGATCAAAGTTCAGAGATCTCAAAAAAGGCATGGCAGAAAACTGCTTGACAGTGTCCTAAAAACAAAGTGATTATCTGGCTGTATAAATCAGATTCTGTTCTCTCAGGACACACACAAAACTATACCCGATGCCTTCCATCCTGACACATGAGCATTTTATGAGTCAAGTGTCCGGGAATCTCCACTTGACGAGGGTGAAACAGATACCACAAGAGATTTTCTAGCAGAGAGGAAAACTTCAGCTAACCACAGCTCAAACAACCAAAAGCCTTCAGATTTCTTCTGTCCCCTGAATCTGGGCTGATCTCAGGTCAACCCGAAAGGAGAGCACCCCATACGAGATGCCGCCTAGAATGGCACCTCAGCTGCCTTTCGGAAGCACATGCTCACCCCCAAACTACAAATGTATGGGCTGAACAGCTGGCCCAAAGATGCAATTAAATAATCTAGAAAAAAGTTTATAAAGAAATAAAAATCATCTGCAGGTCATCCTGGAAGTACCTAGAAAATCATCCGGAATTCTTCACACCATTGGTCTAATGACACCATAGACCTGAGCACACCTTCTGCAAAGGACTGGGGGACTGAGACACCAGCCAGGTGGCGGTGCTCAGATTCCTATGCAGAGAGTGACTTTGGAAAGCCCAGCTCCCAGCCTCCGTCCTCTCAGCCTCAGGCTCAAAAAACCTCACAACTCAATGCAATTACTCTCAAGACCCGGGCAGCCAGACACTTCACGTTACCGGCACCCGAATCTCGTGAGTCCCAGATCCTCCGCCCACCCTGAAGGTCAGCTTGTTTCTCTCTAGGCAGCCTGAGCAGTGCTGGCCAGGTCTGGTTGCCAGAAACTTCTTTTTATGCTACACTGCCAGCGACCCAGAGGTCCAGATTCTGCTACCTGGATAACACTGGTGAGTTTCAAGTGGCAGGCGAGGACCCTTTCAACCTCCATGCAGAACTTAGATAAAAGGATTATCACTACAGCCAGAATTTAAGGCCTGGAAAAGAGAACTCAGGGATATCTAAGCAAAAGAGCGACTTTTCTTACTCCCTCCTCTTCACCAAGCCCTTTTCTAAGCCTAAGAATCATCCCCGTCCATCTCTCTGGGCCCAATAATCCCTCCAAGCTGCCAGTGAGGTGTTTACTTGTAAACATTTAGCATTACTCACTAAAATGTCACTGGCCACAGCCCTATTACTTGTTGAACACCAGGTGTCCTCATTAGATAGACTATAAATTCGAGACCCATTGGGCCAGAAAACACATCCCCAAGAAATGCCCAGAGCCAATCCAGGCAAAAAATCTTGATTGTGGGTAAAAAATCCTGCTGTTTTTATCTTGAAATGGGCTTATCATTTTTGCGAAAATTGAGAGGATAGGATTTTTTTTTTTCATCCTGGGATTGAACCCAGGGCCTTCGCACTGAGCTATATCCCCAGGCCGCTCCCTCCCCCTTTTTTTATTTTGAGACAGAGTCTCAAAAATAAGTTGTCCAGTTGGGCTCGAATTTAATGATCCCTGTCTCAGCCTCCCAGAGTGCTGGAATTACAGGCATGCACCACCTGGCCCAGGCTGGAACTTTAAATGTCAATGCTTAAAAACTGTCCAGTCATCATCTCTTCTCATGAACACCCTCCCCAGCCCTTCTTCCTAAATGTATTTTCTACTAATTCCAAAGGAAAATAGTTTTGGAAAGAGGAAGATGGGTCCGAGAGCTCTCTCCCTAAAAAGGCTGCTGTCTGAGATTAACCCTGACACGGCCCACCGACAGCCTGGTGGAAGAACCCCGTCCCACTGGCGGGGATACAGCAGATTCAGAAACCTGGGCTCAAGAACAAAGCCTAGAAGGAGCGTTACCATCTCCACCTTGAGAGAAGGTCCTCACCTTTCAGCCTTTAGTAAAATGTCGTAAATGCCTGCAAAGTGGACCTAGCCAGACTTCTCTCTTCAAATTCCCGTCCATTCTGAAGGAGCAAATTCCTGTCCATTCTGAAGGCCATGAGTGTGACCATTCACTGGCATGTGAGTGACTGGAGGCAAGAACACACTGTACCCTCCTCAGTTTCCTTCCGTGGTGCACTGTCAAGCTCTGCCCTCATGAAGACCAAGAAAAACTCCCCCAGATAGCAGTGCTTCCCAGCGCCCCCTGCAGCCCCCTCCGACATTCTCACATGACTTACGGGAGGGTTTTGTGAAACATGAAGGAGAAAAGGACATCACTGCTGTAGTAATTATTACAGAACATTTGCATAAGGCCTTTTTGGTATTATCCCAAGGCTTCCAAGGAATTTCTAGTTTTCATTACAAAGCACAGCAGGCGTGGGAACTGTCTACTTTAGAAAGACAAAGGCAGGGAAGGGGGAAGCCAAGCACTACTTGGCAAAGACTACCAATTGATACAAGATTCTGCATTCTGAGAACTCTAACACTGGCAGACTATCTGCTTCTGTCAGTTCTCCAGGGCCATCAAATAAAAGGAAGAGTACGAATGGAACATCTTCGCTTTAAAGACAAAACCAACAAGTGTTCAGTTTTTCTAAATGCATCAGTATGGGGGCAGATTTTTCAGTTACCTTTTTTTGCTTTCTTCTGCAGTTTCAGCGTATCTGAAGACTTCTTTTTTATCTCTTGGCGAGCTTTTTTATATTCTAAGAGAAAGCAGAATATTGAATGTTTTTACCGCTTTGCTCAACAAAAAAACACTTTAGAAATAGCCACTACCTTTGTCAGAGAAAGCACAAACTCTGACAGGCAGATGCTCTACGATAAAAATCTCACAGTGACATTTACAACAAAGGAGCTATGTACACGAAAAGCAACAAAATGCACCTTGGTCTTTCCCTATCATGCCAGCCTTGAGGAAAGATGTCATCTGGGAATATTCTGATAAAAACAAAAAGAACTCACAATTTCTTGGCTCAAGTACCAGGAAAGATTCTCAGAATGACCTACTTCCCCAGGGCACAGAGGGTACTGTACAGTGCATTGGTTGGAGGCGCTTAGTGACCCGCCCACCTCTGTGCTCCGCCCTCTCCTAGTTCTGGCTCCTGTTGCTGGCGAGGCTGGTATGGACTGGACTAGACTGGACCGAAGTCGATGTTGGCAGCGCTCTACTCCCTTCTGATGTTTCTACGTTGTCCCTGCCTGTCCATTCGGCTTGCTCTCTGGCAAGGACACCTCCCCACTGGCCCAGGTTCAGTGTGATGCGACTGTGCCCACCCACGAGGACCCCCACACCGCCTCAGTTCATTTCCCCAGCCAGGCTGGTGCTCATCCACCTGCAGCTTCTGCAGCACTTTCCCCTGCGCTCTCTCGGCCTCCCCAATGGGCCAGAAGCTGGCCAGCAGCTGGGTTCCCTGAGGTCCAGAGAAAGGCTGTCTCAGTCTGGGGGTGGGACCCCAAGCCTCCCGACTAAGAGGTGTGTGGAGCCCGCAGTGGGTGCACACTCACGCCTGGCCGGCTCTGTCTCTGTGTGTGACGCCTCTCAGAAATGCTTTCCACACACACCTCGAGGCAGCAGAGGGGACACCAGAGTTACATCAAGATCACTGTTGTGCTGGATGAGGAGCAATCAAGCAGAGCTCCATGCAAGCTGCTGCCTTCTCCCCACAGCCTCAGCAAAGTCTCTCTTATAAAGCTTTACACAATCAATTTAGTCTTTGCTAAAAATATATATATATATATATATATATATATATATATCAGCTTGCTGCACCAGCAAATGGGTGCAAACTCTTGCCCTCCCTACCTGAGCAAGCCTTCAAACGTGGCTTTCTGTTACCCAATGTGGCCAGAGGGACACACCCAGTGCACCCAAGGCCATCCGGGCTGACTATCACAGGGCAGGACAGTGCATCCTCCACCTGGCCTGGCTTGCTAACGTCAGATGAGCAGAAAAAGCCTGTTCAGGATGGCATCAAAGTAAGTCCCAGCTGGGAAACGACAGCCCGAGCAGATCTTTTTTCTCTAAGACAGGGTCTCGCTATGTAGCCCAGGCCGGCCTCAAACTTGTGACCCTCCTGCCTCAGCCTCCTGAGTGCTGGGATTACAGGCTGCACCACCACACCCAGCCCAGCAGGGGCAGATCTTAAGAAAATTCTTTTGCAAATGACTCTTAAACTCATTTTCCCTGTTGATTTTAACACAATTTCCCTGTTAATTATAACTTTTTAAAAAATCAGAGTAAGAATTAAAAGATTTTGATAACTTTCTTATACAATTGCTAAATATTTGGCAACTGTACCCATACTCCTAAAAATCTTTTTCTTTCAAATAGTTACATTTTATTGCTTTAATGGCAAAAGCTATATGATCTGTGTACATATTTAAACCCTGGGAACAAAATGACTTTCACCCGAACTCTTCCTCTAAAATGCAGGCAACACCAGTATGTTTTCCCAAGGGTGAAATCTCAACACACACAGGCCTTGGCGTTTCTCATTCTCCAATCAAAATGGTTGCTGAAGTTCTTTCAGGACTGACTTCAGTAACAATGGACAACCACAGGAGTCTAGAACCTGTGGCTAACAAGGTTTTCAGGAGCGGTCCCGAAACAGCATCGTTTCTCTCCGTGGCCCGGGTGAGCAGAGCTCCGGGGTGCATAGTGAGAGGAAGGGGTGCGCTCAGTGGACATGCAGTGGTCCAGAGGTCACCGGCAGCCCATGGGGTGCGGAGGATGCTTCCCGAGACAGCCTAGAGCAGGCAAAATCAACTCCTCCAGGCCACACAGAGCCCCTTTCCATGCCCACGAACATGGCTCAGCCCCACCCCGAGGGCGCTGGCTGGGTCTCACAGTGGAGTTCAGTAGCTCCTGAGTTAGTAGCAACCCCACTTGGCACATGAGAACAGCAGGGAGACCCAGACCAGGGACAAGGCCTCATTAGGAAAGCCTTGTTGGCCTCTGCAAAGGGAACCCCGAATTCCTTCTCGCGACCACGGCCTAACTGAGCAGTTCACTGCAGACAGAACAGTGAGAATGGCCAGTTGTGGCCTGTGAGCCGAGGTAAGTGTGTGTCAGTCCTGATTTTCCAAGCGTCCTGGAATCCCTCAAGTGTGGGTGTTTGTGTAGACACCCACCCTTGCAATGCACATCTCATTCAGCTCAGCTGACCACAACGCCAGGTACTCAGGCTGTCGGCTGCTGAGTGATGTGGTCTCAGCAGCAGCCAGCGGCACCCATGGCTCCTCCCAGAGTTTGAGGACACAGCAGACGTGAGACCCTGTACCTTTCGCATGGTCTTTATCCAGCTGGTTGGCCACTTTCTTCCACTCTTCCATCTGCTCTTGAAGTGGATTTATCAGACAATCAATTAAAGCACTTTTGCCAAAGGAGAAAGAGAAGGAGAAATTAAACAGATACATTCTGTTGTCAAGGCTTACATTTCATTGTCAAAACAAACCTACATCACGTCCTTGCAGCAAGCAGAGCAGCATAATGAGCTGACACTCGAGTCAAAGCCGTCCCGTCTGGAGCAGCCTTGTTCCAGGGATGCTCTGCAAAGCCTATGACTGGCTGGAGTGACCCCACTTCTCATTGCCCCAGCCATCGCCCAGCACACATGTTAAACCGGGTGCAGAAAACAGGGGTCACCAAAGGCTGGACATGTGCAGTCACCTGGCTGCACATCAGCCCTCATAAAAGCTTTGAGGGTGGGGACCAAGCACTGTGTGTTCTCAAAGACCCAAGGGCTCTGCTGTGCACACAGGAACTGTGCCCAGCCCTAGAGGAGGGTGGTGAGACCCACAGAAGTCTTGAGCTGCTCTGCAGCTTCTGGGCCACTGAGAGGCCAAGGGACTGCCCGGTGCACCCAGTGTCCTCCCAGCACTCCCCCAAATGCAAAGTTCCGCCCCTTTTGTGCCTGTGGCTTGGAAACAAACATTGGTTTGCACTGGTATGCTGGTGACTGCCAGCCCTCAGCATTTCCCATTCTGGGAGCCTGAAGGCAGTGGAGGCTGCAGCAGCTCCGCCCCTCAGTGGGTCTGGAGGGAGCACGCAGGCCTGGTGGGGCAGCGTGGCACACACCCCTCTCCCTAAGAGGCTCCTCTGGGCAGTGGGGGCCCAGGTCGCCTCAGCCGGACACACTGGCTCCTCAGGTCAGGGACGGCGAGCAGAGGCCCAGGCCCAGACACCCCACGGAAGCGTAGCCTCTGGCAGGCAGGCACCTGGCCTGCGGTCCTCCACTGCAGCCCCTTCTGAGGCCAGTGACAGCAAACCTTCCCGGGCTTCAATGACACGAACAGCGTACTGCAGCACACATGCCATGGGTTCACCACAACTGCTGAGACCAGGACCGACAAGCAGCAGGGCCCGACAAATGCATACTCAGTGAGTAGGCAGAGTTGGGAGGCCTGGGCTGAGGGGCCGCATGCTGTGGGGAGACGCCGTGGCTCAGTGAGGCGTGGTGCATGCCACTGCTGCTCCAACCTGAAACCTTCAGGGCAAAGCGCACTCCTCACCTCGAAAACTGCCTCAGTTTGGCTTCTATACTTCTGTGCCTCATGCACATCCTGGTGAGAGCCGATCCGATCTCCCGGGTACCGCCTGGAAACCAACAGAAGCAAAGTTGAAAGACAGGGGACAGGCAGGGATCCCCGAGATCACTGGAGGATTTTAAAAGCAAGCCAGGTCTCGCCACACGGTGAAACTTAAGCCACTGCTTTCCAAATGTCTCATTGTGCACATGTGTTCACATACAAGAACACGCATGTAAACATGTATATGTGTGGTGACATGTTTACACAGCTCTCTCACTAGATGATACTCTGGTATTTCCTATTCCGATATTTATCAACTCATTAATAGGACTTACAGTGTAAAAAACATACTTCTCATGGAAGATGATCAAAACAGTACCTGATGTTCAGGGAAAAGTTAGATTTCCTTGAAACACATTTCTGGCCAAATAATCCTCCAGGTCATTGAGACGGCTATGGAGGCACTCCCACAAATTATTTCAAGACACAGGCTCTAAAATGCAAGTCTTTCAGAGAATAGCAAGGCTAGATAAAAATGAAAGAACATAGCATTTTGTAAGTGGCTCTGGAGTACATCGGTGGAGGACAGAGGTATTCCAGCTCAGCAAACGTGGAAGCAGCTGCAGCAGAGTTTGCTTTTCCCAAAACTCTTGCCACACTTTCCCTTCAAGCACACCCTTCTCTAAGATTATTGTCGAAGTTATTCTATCCCTTTTCCCTCTTCGAAACAATGCTTGAGTCAGCACTGGGGGTGGGAGGCGGGGGGCACCGATGGCAACCTCAGATGGCAACCGCGTGCCGACCCTGGGGCCCAGTTTAGGGACAGCGGCACTTGTGAAGTGGAGACAAGCGGCAAACACAGCACTATTTATAACAGACAAGGCCTTCAAGGAAAGAGACAGGAATTTATAGCAGGTTTAATCAAGTCAACAGAAAAACACTTCCCTCTTGTTAGTATAGAAAATGTTCTCATGGGTTCAACCTGGCCTCTCTTCTAGAGATGTTAATTTGTTGTTTCAGTTCCACCTGTTTTCCATTTTAATCCTGCAAAATTAACAGGTTTCTACAATCGAATAGTAATAATAATGGTGACACAGATTAAATAGTAATATTTTTATATTTTACCTGGCACTCCTTCCATTCATTCCCCCACAGAAGGCTTCCAGCCTGACCACTGCCCTTGGCTGTGAGGCTGACGGACGCCCCACTACCTGCTTAGCAGCACCCTTGGGCTCTACCCACCAGAGGTCTGCAGCCACCTATACACTGAAAGTCTCCAGACAATACCAATGTTCCTGGGGGGCAAAAGAAGCCCCTGCTGGAGTTACTTCTGTATAAGAACCTGACCAGGAGCAACTGCCACCCAAGGCTCACTCTGAAGTGGCCCAAAGTCTTTAAAATGCTCCCCTTTGCTTCCGGGCACTTGTGTTCAAGGGATGAGGGATATGGCACTGAGCCCACTCAGCATCTCCATCTGCTGCCTGCACGCCCTGTGTCCAAACACTCTGCCACCCAGGCTCGCTCCGGCTCCTCAGAGCTATTACAGCTTGTACGCAGGGGTGAGGACTACTCATCTCCAGGGAAATATCTGACTCTTTCTGGGCCTCCATGAGAGAAAAGTCAAATAACCTGGCCATTCCACAAACCGGCATGCTCGCCCACCTCTGGGAAGGGCAGACTAATGCTGCCCTGGCAGAAAATCTGACCGATCCATCAAGAAATGCCCTGACACGATGCACTCTCTTTGCCCCAGCAGCTCTAATCCCAGAAATGTAACCCTAGGAATAAGTGAGGATGAGAGAGAACCCTTACCTATGAGGGCAGCCACTGAAATGTTTGCAACACCAAAAAAACTGGAAACCAAGTCCCATTACAGGAAGCTGGCTAACCTGATGCCATCATTTACAACGCCAAAGAACAACGTGGGCAGGCTCACAGCTGCACCGGAGAGGAGCTTGGTGCTGGCCTAAGTACCTGCACGGAGCGACTCATACCAACCCGAGCTGGTGCACTGTCCACTCAGCTACACAGCACTCACACAGGGGTAGAGCCAAGAGCCAAAGACAAACACCACAACACACTCACGCAGCTACACACTAGTGCGGGGACGAGGCCTACACTCAGTTACGCGTTTCAGTTCCTGAGTCAGAGCTGTCTGACTGTTAGCATGACACTGAGCTCATCCTCGAAAGCTGCTCGGGATAGCGCAGGCTTGGGGTCCCCATGGACAACCCACGCCTCGTCTCCCTGAGGCAGATTTAAGCAGATGGAAAAGATCACCTCAGAGGTCAGTCTCCCCACTCCAATTTGCTACCCTATTGTTTCAGTTCCTTCCCAGATACTCTCCATAGATTTATTTCATCCTCCGGAAAGCCCAGGGTCCCTCAGAAACCGCTCCACTATGCGGCCTGTCAAGCATTCTTCGAACATAATGGCTGTGCCCTAGCACCGTGCCTGTGCAGAGCCAGAAGCACTATGAGGAGAGGAAATAAAGAACTGCAAAAAAAGCTCCAAACAGCAGTGTCTCTGTCCACCTGGCACAGGGTAGGAGGCAGGTGACCTCCTCCATGGGCCCCAAGATCCAATGTTGGGATCTTCGCTGGTCTCACAACAGGGGCACCCTAAAAATAGGTCCAACTGTTTAAGCACTTAACAGCAGCTTATGCTCTCCTGACCCTTGCTGGAATTTAAAAAAAACTCAGCAGCTTTGAATCAGAGGAAACTGGCTGGAGCTACAAAGATGACAGAGGGGACATCTGGAAGAACTCCAACTTGACAGAGAATATAGAACCAAAGGGGCGGTTGAGGGACTTAGCTGACTGAGTCAGGACAAGATCTTTCTCATTTCCAAGTTCTCAGCACCCAGCACTAGTGCTGAATGAAGGGATCAACATTTCTGTTTTGAAAAGAAATCACCAGGCTAACCCCAATGGAGGCCAGATCGGGAATTAGTTTGTCTTTTGTTTATTCCATAAATATTTGTGTACCTTATATGGACAAAGTATAAAAGGAAGGTTCAAAACAAATACAAAATGCTTAGTCTCAGAAAAGGTCTCTACAGATTCAAGATTGGCCTAGAGACACGATGGTGTATTAGTTTCCTATTGCTGCTGTAACAAATAACCATAGACGTAGTGCCCTAAGGTAACCCTGATTTATTATCTTGCAGCTCTAGAAGTCTGAAGTCCAAAATAAGGTCTCACTGGGCAAAAATCAGCTCCTTCTAGAGGCTCCAGGGTGAATCTGTTTCTTGTCCCTCTAACTCCTGACCCAGAAGATGGCTACATTCCTGGCCTCGTGGGCCCTTCCTCTACCCACAGCTTGCGTCTTCCCTCTGATCAGATCTCTCCTCTGACCTCTGCTTCTGTCCCATTGTCTTCTCTCTGACTCCATGAGAAACCTTGTGATTTTCCTGGACTCACCCAGGGTAACACCCCTGTGTCTCAAGATCCTTCACGGAAGCACATCCTGTAGAGATACCTTTGCCGGCAGGAACACATGCACAAGTCCAGGGCGGTGACGGAACACTGACAGGTGAACTGTTCTGCCTGCCACAGAGTGGTGAGTAAGAGGCAGGAGAGGGGACCCAAGGCCGACTCTGCATCCACTCACCCTCAGCTGACACTGTCCCATCCCCTTTGGCAGCAACTGCTTGGGTGATGGGAAAGAGAAGCCCATCAGGAAAGTTTCCCTGCTGTTAAGAGACTACATCAAAGGGACCCTTCTGCAGGATATGGCAAGGAAGCAGGCTGCAGCCACCGCAGTGCACTATCCTGGCAGCAGGGTCACCTGCCTTACAGTGGGCTGGTCCTATGGGCTGAGGACAGAGAGAACCTGAGCCCCCACTCCTGCTGCTTAGGGACACAAATACTTTATGGCCAAAATCTGAATTCCTTTCAATGTGGCATATGCCAGTCCTTTCTCCCACAATAAGCAAAGGTTTTTACAACAAAGCAGCACAAAACGGTCAGTGATGGGGGTAATGTGCAAAGGTGTGAACACAGCACAGCCCTGCACAGGGTGCAACACTGCACACGCCCCAAAGCACGCACGCAAACCGTACTAGCTTCCCGGGGCTGTGACACAAAGAGCACCAGACTGGCTGGCTGCAAACGACCAGAGCGAGTTCTCCCAGTTCTGCAGGCGCCCAGGCAGACACCAGGGCTGGGCAGGGCCCGCCTCCTTTGGAGCCCGGGGAGCCTCTTCCTCACCTCTGGTGGCCCCAGCGACCTCAGCTGGCAGCTGCGACACACTGCTCTACTCCGGGGTCACACAGCCGCCTCCACTGTCTGACCTGTGACCTGTGTCTTCCCATGAGATGTATGGGAAGTGCATGCCTGGGTCCAAATCTCCCCTTTCTTATGAAGATACCAGTATTAGCCGGGCATGGTGGTGCAGGCCTATAATCCCCACACTGTGGGAGGCTGAGGCAGGAGGATCACAAATCTGAGGCCAGCCTGGACAACTTAGTGACTTCGCAAGATCCTGTCATGAAATTAGAAGAAAATAAACTAAAAGGCTGGGACCGTGGCTCAGTGCAAAGGCACTGGGTCCAATCCCCAGTTCTATTAGAAGAAAGCAAGCAAAGAAAAAAAAAATCAGTATTACTAGGTTAGGGCCCATTCTAAAACTCTCACCTTAACTCGATTACACCTGCAACAACCTTCTGCCCAAACAATTGCACTTCCAGGTCCGGGAGACTCATCTTTTGGGGAGACCCACCACGCAGCAGCAAGGACTAACATGATGCCAATGGCACTGAGGACATAGGCTCAGCCTGAGGGGCCCCCAGACTGCCTGGGGACACATGTACCGTGGCACAGGGACCGTCTTCACTGTAAATGAGACACTCCGAAGCGAAGGAGGGCTGCCAGCTTGCTAGGGGTCACAGAGCTCGTCAGGGGGACAATCAGGGGCAAACTCTGCTTTGCCCGATACCCAGGGCCTCTTTCCCACTAAGCAAGCTCGAGACAGTCCCAGCGGAGGACAAAGGGCACACGAACGTCACGAACAGAACCCAAGTTGCTCAGTGAAGTTTTGGGGAGGAGTAATTAAGAGCACAAAGGC